TGTGCATTTAAATACATTTAAAAAATTTACCAGCATTTTACATTCAAATGTACTATTGTTAGCGCTACGTGGTTCGTTGTGCCTGTTAGCCTGCCGCTAACGCTACCTGGAGCACCGTGACATCTTTCTAAAGTCACATTAACTTCACTAGTTTGTTCTAACTGACAGATACGTCTCTGTAGCAGAAACACAACCTGCAAAAACTGAACAAGAAGCACAAACGTCAACACAAATCAGAACATTAGCTGTTTTTTTAAAGGCTAACGGCTAGCAGCTAAGCTAGCAGGCAGCCACACATTAACCTGAACCAATGTGTGGAAAACCGTAAAGAAGTATTGCTTTAAGATTTGGGCTTTTATGGGCAATAAAAGTGGTAAAACTGGAAAAGATGAACAAAGCAGAGAAGAACTGCAAGAGACAATCAGCTGATCGCACAGTAACCAGAGGAGGGCGTTATGTTCAGTTACAGCAATCCTACTTAATGACGTAACTTAGTTATGAAAGACAGATTTCCTGCTATCACATGCTGTTAATATATCATATTTATTGTACATCTGCTCCTCATATCTGCTTTCTGCTTCTCCTGATTACTAATAATCAATATCAGCCCTGTAAATAGCACATCGGTCCGTCCATGTTTCTGATGATACAAGTTGTTTCTGTGGGCCCTAAACACTAATCCTGTGAATCTAAAATTATAGCAAAAGTCTGCATTGTCCCCAACGTTGGACCGACGTCTGATTTTTGTCTGAGAAAAATGGTTTGTGGTCAAAAAATGAGTCACCTGTGGGCAAGCAGACGTAGACGATAGGTAAAGACGCAACAGTTTTATAAAATTAAATATTGTTTTCTTGATGTGAAGTCTTAATCTGCAAGTGTTTCATTTTAAATAATGATTTCTGAATAGTGTCGACTGAAACAACAAGGCCTTATGATGACCATGATACGTGCTTAAAAGTGTTGAAATCAACCTGAAAATAACCCAAAACTCATAAAGTTCACTCAAACACAACCCACATGAATGTACCGTCACAAAAATACTGTTTAACAAATACCTTCCCCCCGCAGTGTTAACAAGAATGGATCAGATTTATTTTGTTCACGATATATTTTACAACTTCATCCACAGTTTATTTCTTTGGAGTTGAATCCAATGAGTTTCCTGCGACTTCCTGTCAGACGGTTTCACGATTTTCCATTTTCCACCAGAAAGGCCAACAACAATAGTTTGGTTTAGAGTCTGTTACATGTCGGCCGCCTCCCCCCCCAAGGCTGAGGATGCTTAACACACTGTGAATATTGAATTAAAACAGATAATTACTGATTATCTGTGGTGAAGTGGGGCGTCCATTAATCCATTAGTAGCTCTGCTGCTCTCCGCTCAGCGTCTTGAAGAGCAGCAGCATCGCCACTTAAACTGACACAATGGACTCAGATTTATTCCACCTCAGATGCGTTACTAATAATTGCTCTGGTAATAAATAAGCACTTAAAGGAAAAGTCCCACCTAGTGTGAGCTCCGTTATTCATCCTGAACTGAATCATGTGTTCAGATGGAAGATATCCAAACATCCTGTTAGCAGCGTTAGCTTAGCTTTCATCAACGTCAGCCGCGCCGCCTGTCGGACGTTTGTCTCGGCTGTCGTCTCGTCTGATTCTGAGTTTTTATCATAAATTTTTGTCTTTTAAAAGCTGTTGATGTTAAATTACATTGCTGACAGTAAAGTTTCTGGAAAAAGGCTTTTTTTTCATAACAAACATTTATATATATTTTAAAAAGCTGGGGTTACACTGGTGTTCATAGGCATAAAATGTATGTATAGCAAATAATTTATAATAGATGACAGTGATTTATCATTTAATATGAAGTTTAGTAGCATCGTCTTTAAAAATGGCCCCAAAATGCAATCCAGAATCATCGCATTGGAGTCAATCTACCATACATTTATGATTCATATTTAGAATTTTGATCAGAAGTTCTGACCCTAACAGGCAGTTATAAACTTTACAATCACATTTTTATGCCTCCTGTTAGAGGTGGACGAATGTGTTTGTTTTTAGGGCTAATATTGATTATCAGTGATCAAGGACACCATTAACTGATATTTATATATATTATATGTGCAGTAAAAATAACAATATTAATGTCAGAATTTAAAATAAGACATCAAACTCAAATTTGTTTAACATGTTTGTCATCTTCTAACATCACGACCGGACAGACCTGATGTTTTCTGTCATTAAGTGTAAATATGTTCAGTCAGAAGGAACATCAATGATGCATCTCCACACAGAAGGAGCAACAAAGACGTTCAAAGCTGAACATCTGTATTAGTGGATTCTTCCATTGGTGTATAATGAAATAATCAGCTCTTCTGGGATAAACTTCTGCTCAACACAACATTTCTCCACATAAGCAGCAGCAGCAGCAGCGATATTAACATGGAGACGGCGTTTCTCCAGTTTACTGCCGGTAAACTTCCTCTGAAGCGTGTCTCAGCATTCAGACTGCAGCTTCCCCTCCAGGACTTACACATAATTATTTACCGTTTGATGCTCAAAGTCAAATAAAACACACGATGAATAAAAAGCTGCTTTTTTTTTTTATCTCTTCGGTGTAAACAGGAAGGAGGATCTGTTTTGAAGGGATCAGGCGGTGAAATTATGATTTCAGGATTGCAAAGAGGCCTTTCCTGTAAAACACGTGTCTTCTGTTTATTATCAAGCCACAAAGGGGTTTTCTCATTTGTAGTGATCTGGTGAGACCGTGTCGTCGCACTAATCGTTTGAGGAAAATATGTAAATCAAATTTAGCAGGCTGGACTGTCATCCTGTCCTGATACTGTTGTTTTTAGCCTCAGATACATAGTTGATGCCACTGTGATATAAAACCACTGCCCTGTGTTGTGGCTGAAGGTCATTGAGCATCACAGAAGTCTTTGTCATGGTGTCCGTTTACCAGCTGAACCCCCACAATGCTCTCTGCTAGCCGACATGAACTATCCTTAAAATGCATCATCCATCATCTCTACACCTTAATCCTCACTAGGGTCATGGGGGGCTGGAGTCTATCCCAGCTGACTCAGGGTGAAGGCAGGTTCACCTGGACAGGTAACCAGTCTATCACAGGGCTACACTTAGAGACAGACAACCAAGCACACTCACATTCACACCTACGGACAATTTACAATCACCAATTAACCTCAGCATGTTTGTGGACTGTGTGGGAGGAAGTCGGAGAACCCGGAGAGAACCCACGCTGCACGGGGAGAACATGGAGACTCCACAGAAAGATTCCGATATTCCCACTGGGACGCTAACCAGCGACCTTCTTGCTGTGAGGCAACGGTGCTAACCACCGATCCACCTTGCAGCTCTAGAAACTATACATACAGCAGATACTTGACGACTTATATATTGTGATTTGGACTGTGTGGGAGGAAGGTTGAGAACCCGGAGAGAACCCACGCTGCACGGGGAGAACATGCAAACTCCATGCAGAAAGATCCCGGTGTCCTCACCGGGACGCGAACCGACAACCTTCTTGCTGCGAGGCAACAGTGCTAACCACTGAGCCACCCTGCAGCCCTAAAATGCATCATGTTCTATGAAATTTAAACAATAAATGAAGTGCTGCAGGTTTATCGACTGCTGCTGAGGAAAGTAAAACACATGCAGCCAAGTTTTGTCTTTTAACCTGAATTTATGAAAAAAAAACTCAGAGAAATCTGATAAAAAAGGGAACTAGTTTGAAAGAAGTGAGAGAGCAGCAGTGCTTCATCCGTCCTTCTCCACTCCATTGTGTTTGTTATTCTGCTCTTTCTCGCTGTTTTATTCCTCCAGTGCATATACGTTCTGGCATGCTCTGTTTCCAGTCCTTATCTGCTCTTGTTCTTCTTTTCTTCACAGTTCACTAAACACAAACTTTATAATTCCCGGCTGCTGCCGCTGCGTTCGTCTTTCCTCCTCAGCAGCTTGAATCTTGTGCGGTTGAAGGCAGAAGGTGTGCGTCTGGCTGACAAGCTCACTCTGAGACCGTAAATCTCCAAACATATGAGAGGCAGCACACATAATCTGTCAGCCTGTTCGCGGCGTTAAGAGATGTGTGGCTGCACGTGTGCGCTTTTGTTTTTTTTTTAAGAAGACTCTCAAAACACAATTAAAGCAGAAAGCCCCCGAGAGGTTATTTAGTGCTGCATGCGTGCGGCGCGTTTTAGCTTCTAATTTTTATGCCTTCTGATTGTTGGTGTTTCCTGCATGTTTGCGCGCACATGCGTGTCCGAGCAGCGTGTTCGCTCGTCGTAGCCTCGAGGAATCAGCACCCATGTAGAGCTTTGGCGCGGGGCTAAGCAAAGACCACAGATGCATAAGAGGAGCGGAGCTGGCTTCACGTAGCACTGTGGGAGCTCATTACTGTAGTCTTTGGGCTGGAAAATGTCTGTCAGTAAGGATTCATTAAAAGCCAACCTGCTGCAGCGGCTCCTGGTAGCGCTCTAATGAGAGGTCCTCCACAATTTGGGCTCCCCGGCGCTTCAGATTGGACAGGTGAAGCATCGGCGCCGATCTGCATCACGGACGGACTGTGTTTAGAGCGCGGTCATTAGCATTACAATGCTCACGTTCTCTCTGGTAGCTGCAGAATCACATTTACTTTATCTCTGTTCAGAAACATCTCGTCCTGCTGCTGCTGCTGCTGCTGGCTGCACAGTTCTTTATCGACGACTCTGCACTGTCTGCTCCGGCTTTGAACATTTAATTGAAGCATTGTTGGAACAGTTTTTGTGCGCCGTCATTAGTGCAGGTGGACGACTCCGAGCTTTCAGTTTGGCTCTAATGTCGGTGGAGTGGCTTCGTTTAACCCTGCTGCCTCTGGTTCTGTCCTCAGGATTCAGCTCTGGTTGGTTGAAGAAAGGCTGCTGTGTTCATTCTGTGTCTTCTCATTGATTGCTGCTTGTCGTCGCCATCTTTTGCACTTTTTTTTTGACTTCCTGTCTTGTGTCTTTCAGACTCGGACGCCTCGTGTGACTCGACTGAGCCCGACACAGCCGGCCCTCGCCGACCAGGCCAGCAGGGTGTCCTTCGCGTCAGCTGAGAATCTGGAGACCATGTCGGAGCCAGACATCCCCATCGGATTTAACCGGATGAACCGGCTTCGTCAGAGCCTGCCGCTGGCCCGGTCGTCCAGCCAGGCCAAGCTGCGAGCACCAGGTCAGAAGAAATGTCACGTGCTTCACTCTGATGTTTAACCCTCAGATAGATCCTGTAGGAGCCCATCTGGTAAATCAGCTCCAGCAGAAACCAGAACCAGTCGGACTCTGTGCCGTAAATAGGAACATATAAGTGTTGACAGCTTTTAGTGTTAATTCACTTGTGATATGTGTGAAAAGTCACTTATTTCTCCTCAGAAATTATGACTTCACACTTTGTAGGATGAATCACTGAAATGAAATAATGCTGCAGAAATCATCATCAATAGACCTTCAGTTCTTAATCAGTGATTTTTAATGTAAACCTGCAGCTTATTTCCTGTGGAGGATTCAGCGAGAGCTTCTTCATGTTATGAAGAGTTGGATATTTTGCATCGCTTTCCTTAAAAATGTTCATCTCATCACCCAGTCTGACTTTATGGTGCTTTTTTTTCTATAAACTAAAAGACTGACTAATCCTTATAATATAAGACTATCAGCCTGACACTAGTCTTGTTCACTGTGTCATGTAAAACTCAGATTTTCATTTTCATTTAAATGTTTGTCCTCTGGTTTTATTCTCTTTTTCAGAGCTCGTTAGTAAAATTGTTTGATAAAGCAAACAGATCTGCAACAGTTTACTGATTTAATTTAATTTAAATTAATTAATACATTTCTAAAATAAAATAAAATAGAATAAAAAATAATGCATGTATATAAAGTAGTCGTATACGTTGCACCGCGTTACAGTGAAAATCAGTGGAGAGTCTCAACAAATACATGTGATACTGGAGTTCCAGGGAGATTTACCCTCATTTTACCCCAAACCTGGTCCGGGATCGTGGTCTGGACGAGATTATTTGGTAAAGTGAGGAGTTTACGTCACATCCACCACAATAATGTCAGAGATGTTTAATGTTTTCGGAGCGTTGCTAAACATTTCAGCTTTTGAGGCTCACGTTAGCTACGTGCATTAAAACTGAACCGTTTCCTCGTTCAGACTCCTTTAGCATCTCGATCACCGTGTTCGATGAACAGAGCTCTCCTTCGTCACAAACTCCTCGCTGATGAGCTTTTTCTGTTTCACTGCATTTTCTAACAATTTCATCCAACACAGCAGCCGTCAGAGTCGTCATTTAGGAGAACGTACAACCAGGTAGTCCTGCTCCACTCTGGTGCAACATCAGCACATTCAAACCACTGCGTTATGAGTAGTTCGTACATTTAGATCAGGGGTGCCCAATCCTGGTCCTCGAGAGCCACAGTCCTGCATGTTCTAGATGTTTCCTTCTTCCAACACACCTGATTCACATGATCAGGATGGTTATCAGGCTTCTGCAGAGCTTGATGATGAGCTGATCATTTGAATCAGGTGTGTTGGAAGAAGGAAACATCTAAAACATGCTGGATAGGGGCTCTCGAGGACCAGGATTGGGCACCCCTGCTTTAAAGTCTCTGTGCAGCATCAGTATTTCTGCTCCTGGTAGAATCTGTGCAATACCATCCATGTTTGGGATGCATTGTTTTTGCACATCCAGAGGAATCTGAATATCCACATCTGGTAGAAACGGTACTTATAGGTGTTAATGTTTTAGTTGTTTATGTTTATTTTCTGCTGACGTTTTGGACTTGTTGTCTTCCCCTTTGCTACCGTGACGCTGCAAATGTCTCCACTGTGGGATTAACGAAGGCTGATCTTATCTTAATTACAGCAGCTGAAGTTTGCAGTTTGTTCATCGTGAGACGAGCTTAAGTTTGTCAAAGTGTAGCTGTGATTCTGTTCCTGTGCGTTGCTTCATGTGTGGTTTCTCCTCCTGAATTCATCGACATTCAGGGAGCATCCGAAGTAAACAGATGTTTATTTTCTCTGCCTCTCGTCAGCCTTGAACTCTGGGATGCGTCTGGTCTTATTGACAGCATCTCTTTGATTGACGAGTCAGGAGCCAATCAGGCGCCGACACATTGATGTGAACCGTTAAACTCGTGTGATGTCTCTGACAGACGGCGGTAAATAAGACGCAGTCGCTCTGAGTGCACAGCAGGGAATCACCTGTTTGAGTCACCTGTAAACCGGCAGCCGAGTCCGAGTCAGACGTGGGTGCTCCGCCTATGGGATGCAGACAGAGCTGTCTGATGCCTCCAGATGATCTCGCCGAGCTGCCTGTCGGCTTTGATTAATGGCTTTGGCAGGAGGCAACATCATCTCGTCCTTTAAAGTATCTTTGCAGCATATGGAGAGGAGGACGGCGCCTTCGAACCGGCGCTTCATTGTAATTCTGAGCACCGCCCGCGTCGAGAATTTTCACATTTTCTTTCAGAGTCTGTTTCGAGGCGACCGGGAGAATGTCGATGCTTCGGCAGTGACGCTGCAAACCCGATGTCAGGGGCTTTTAGTCCTGATAATGGAGGTTTAAACTGCTGCGTAACAAACACCCTTTCTCAACACGTCGGTCTCTGAGCTAATTTTACTTTCTACACCTAATTTTACTCGACGCCGTGGCGATAATTCCACTTTGCCCACATTGGCGTCGCGGGTAAAGTGGGGATGATAATGATGTGTTGCTTCCTGGGGCTTCACTCGTTCAGCCGAGATGCAAGTCGTGGCACCGAGGAGGGAGACTTTTCCCAGCTTCCTCAGAAACACACTCAGCTGCCACGGTATTAGGCACACTGTAGGATAATCTGACAATCTGGCAGCAAGCGTGCCGGAAACATCCGTTAAATAGTGGAGCACTGTAACCTGCGAGAACTGTGGAAGTGGTGAAAGTAACGGGAGGAAATCTGTGTTTTTTGGGCTAATTTAAAGACAGTAAAATAATGTGAGTTTATAGCCACACGTTGGGAAAGAACCAATTACTATTTATTAAAAAAAACAAATTGAGACATCATGTGCACTTATGGTCTTTTTTTATTAGTTTATTTCTAATACAATTTGTCAAATAATTTGCCATTTTAAACTCTTAAATATGCATTTTTTCCTTTCAAATAAAAGCAAATATCTGCAACATGGTGACATTTTTTGCTGCGTACGGTACATATGGTGTAGTCTTACAGTCAAACAGATCAAACAACAAATTGCTGCATTACTATTTGTGAAAACACATGTTTTGCTGGCGTTGTACTGAGCAGCATTTCCCCTCATATTCCTCCATGTAACCAGAAAGCAAATTAGAACCAACCCCCAGTATAAAGCAGTTCTGCCCAGCGTTGATGCTAAACATAAAACTCCGATGGGACGCAGGCCTCTATTACTTTTTTTTTTTTTATTCTTGGACGCCTGCTGCGAGGATGAAATGTGCTAAATGAATTCCTTCCCCACTTATCCCACTGCTGCTGCTGCTGAAACAACTGCTGTTAGCCCATCCATCCATCCATCATCTATACAACTTAATCCTCACTAGGGTCATGGGGGGCTGGAGTCTATCCCAGCTGACTCAGGGTGAAGGCAGGTTCACCTGGACAGGTAACCAGTCTATCACAGGGCTACACTTAGAGACAGACAACCAAGCACACTCACATTCACACCTACGGACAATTTAGAATCACCAATTAACCTCAGCACGTTTCTGGACTGTGGGAGGAAGCTGGAGAACCCGGAGAGAACCCACGCTGCACGCTAATAATGGACAAACAGCGTATTAATAAGTGTATCTGCGTGTCTAAAAAGTCTTTAAAAGCCTTGACTTTAGTGCTCTTTAAACAGCATTAAAAGTCTTGAATGTTTAGCTTCGTCCTGCAGACTGTAACACGAGCCAAACATCCGTCTGTATGAGATTATTCTGGTGACTTTGTGAGCTGCAGAGATAAAAGCAGTGTTGTGACAGAGAATTGTGCTGCTACAGAGGCTCCGTGACTCAGGACTTTAGCCGAAACACGAATTAAACGAGATGGGGATATGTCAGTGAATTCATGTACTTTATGAATAATTGTTGACCCCGCGGGATTTATTGTAAAACAAGTATGAAATTACATTCGGCGCTGCATTAAAAAGGTCCCAGAAAGTCACGGATTTAATTTGGTGAACACTGCAGGAACTGATTAATCGTCCACAAAACAAACATTTACAATCTGACCACTGACATTTAATCTATGTTGTTTTGCTTTATTTAGGCAGCACGTCATATGAGCTGTGTACAATTAAGCAGTAAAATAACACTGTTTTTAGTCAATAAATCATTTCTAATGTCACTTTTCTTTACTGTTAATGGATTCCAGCCTTAGTTTAAAGTGTTTATTTATAGTAATGTAGCTCATTTGTAGAGAAACTCAAGTTCATCCTTTAGAACAAAAGTGAAACATGTTTTCTCACCTACCGCCCACATTAAAATTGTTTGTTTCTCAGTGTGAGATGGAGAGTTTATAACTGTAGCAGTAGTAGCGAGGAACACCGAAGCTGTTACTCTATAAGATGAGACAGAACTTGTGCCAGATATGACTCAGAAATCAAAGTTACATGAGAATAAATGCAGCGCCTAATAGAAAAGCAATGAGGTATAAGTATGATACGTTACCGGAAATAAAAATAAATGTGCTAAAATAGGACTAGAATAGAACAGGAAGAGGGAACACTGGCAATAATACTGAAGTAGTAGAATAATATCACACATGAGAGTGAAATATTGCACATGTAGTTATAATATTGCACATAGAATTGAAAAAAAAAATGTGCCAGGAAAAATGAAGTATTGCACATTATTGTCAAACCGATGTTGCATTTGCTACTGAGAAAAGTAATGTTGTAGATTACACTGATATTATAGATACATAAACTCAATACAATGAGGGAAAAGACAGCAGCTATGGTCTGATATTGTTTTTTTTGTTTTGTTTTGTTTTTTTTTTTTAGCGATACCTAATATCTGGAATCGATGCATTTTAAAAGTTGTGTGTCTTTCCTAAGCAGGTTTGTTCATTAATAATTATTGAAGCAATGCATATATACATTAACTATTATATATGAACAGCATGCGAGAGCAGAGAACCTGTCATTTATAACTAGGCTCGGAAAATGTGCTTCTCTGTCTCTCCGTGTAAACAACAGCTTTCAGTGATTGGCTGCTGCTCGGTAGCAGCCAATCAGACGGAGCTGTGGGCGGGACATGGCATGAGACCACAGAGTGAGAAGTAGCTGCATCGGAGCCACAGGAGCGCATTACATTTATTTTTTGCAATCATCTGCCCTCAGTAATCAGTTGATCCCCAGTATGAAGTGTGTTTAAGCTCAAATCGATGTTTACTTGTTTGTTCTGCTCTCTTTTGGGGACTAAAATGCCATATTTCCAGGTTAAAACTGTCCCTCCTCTCTCCACCTTCATCACCAAACCTGTTCCTCTCCGTCCATCCATGCAGGGATCTTGTTCCTCCAGCTGGGGGAGGAAACCCGCCGGGTCCACCTGACCCACGAGCTGACCAGCCTGGACACTCTGAGGGCGCTGATCGTGCACATGTTCCCCCAGAGGCTCACCATGGCCATGCTCAGGTACATCGATCCGTTTGGCGCCGCCGCTGCGTTTACACTTCATTTAGTGCCTGTTTTAGAAATCAATCGCAGAGATGAGATGCTGTCGCTGCCGCTTCATTCTCAGACTCAGAAAGAAAAATAATGATTGTAAACAGAGGAGGAGCTGAAGCTGCTGCCCTCAGGCCGTCGTCTCGGGGCATCTGAGAGAGTCTCTTTTATCCCCACTGCTATTGATATACTTAACGGACATTAACACTCCGGCTGCGTCGCTGCTCCACCTCGGCACATTTGCACACTTGCACATTTATATCTGCGATGGATTTCCATTTAGTTTGTTATTTATCGCCGTTTTTCGCTGCCGTTGTTCCTCTTTGTTCTGCTAATGTGTGGACTCTCGCTGCAGAACAGATTTTCCTCAGTGGGACAATAAAGAGAGTGATGAAGCAAAAAAAACAAATGGAAAATGGAAGCAGGAAAGAACAAAACAAAACAGAAATTAAAGATCAATAAATCCAGAAAAGATGTAGAATTGACTTCTCAGCCAAAAAAAAAAAACATCATCTAAAGTCTCATCAGTGGAATAAATCACATTAAAATGACAAGTTGGTGCAGAGACACCACAGACTTCATGCATTTATTAGCATTTTTCACCACGTGTTCCTTTTAAGAAGCACCCAGAATGATAATGTTTATCAGAAATGGAAAAATTAAACAAATCTAAACTCATATTTCATATCAATCCCTTTGTCCCACATGCTTCATTGAAAAAAAAAAAAAAAAAGCCCCAAATATACAGAAAAAACGAACATTCTGAAACCACGACTGACTCAGATGTGACCAACAGACTCGGCTGAACTGCAGACAGTGTTTCCGTAGAGCAGAGAGGAGACGACAAGAGAGACTGAGGTGAATAAAACTTACTGGATCAATAAATAAAAGCAGCACGGCTCAGAAACGGTGAACAGAGTCAGGATACATTCAGCATGGTGAAACATCTTTCTGGAGTTGACGTGTAGAGTGAAGCAAAACAACATCTAGCATATAAAATGTCTGTAGTGCCGTAATTTCCGGACCATTGAGCGCGCCGGAGTATAAGCCACACCCACTAAGTTTAAAAAGAAAACCAGTTTTGTGCATATATCTATATGTCTACAAGCTGCAGGTGTCCATGTTGGAACATGAGATATTTACACACAAAGATCTTTTTAACCTTTAATTAAATACGTACCTGTAACATGCACAAATACATAAATGCTTTTTTCTGAACAGTTCCTGTAACACGGCTGGTTAAGAAAATAAAACTCCAGCAGCCTACCAGGAAAAGTCATTGATCGCTATCTTCATCTTCCTCCTGCACTAAAACCACTAAAGTCTTCAGTGTCTTCAGGAGTTGAACAGCCTCAGAGTTACTTCGTCACTTCCTCAGTCTCTCTTTTGCTCTCAGTGTCACTTTGGTCTCGAGGCAAATTCGTAAAAATCCATAAATTAGCCGCATCATTGTTCAAAGCGTGTGAAAAAAGTAGGTCCTTATAGTCCGGACATTACGGTACATAGTGCCAACATGAGTTATTTTTTCATTTCTGCTCACACTTCTGGGCTCTTGGAAACACATCGTACATGTTAATTGCAGTTTTTGCAATTTTAGTAAAATAAAACATGGAGCAATTTAAACTTTGTTAAGATTTCTGGCATCATAATTGTGTCCAACCGTTCTGAGTTTCTCAGAGTTTCCCTTCTGAATTTCTCTTCCTTCTACAAATTCTTCAAACACACATTTTCTTGTTGCCTTTTAACCTTTCTGACGTCCATAATCCAGTCCAATGTCATTCCTTTTTTAACATTCAGTCCTTGGAGGTTAACTTACTGACGTTAGCGTGGCGTTTCACTTATTTTAGCCTCTGCAGACTCAGAAAGGAAGCAGCGTAGCAACGGTAGCATGTAGCCGTCTGAAAACTCAGAGCAGGAAGCCTTGGGAGTTTGCACGTAAATTGCACATTCCTGCATAACGTGAATCTTTCTATTACGTTTTTATCACTTTAAATTCCCTTTATGTGCCACACTTGCTACTGGTTGGCTTGCAACACTGCTAAAATCCTTTTATTCTCTATTCCAACGCTTCAGATTCCTCATATGTGAAAACCTTCGACTGATTCTGATCCTGCCCTCAGTGAAGAGTCAAATCACAGCTAAGAATTTAAATATCTTTGTTTTTCAAGCTGCAGTGTTCAACAGATGTGTTCACAACAAACACCGTCCGTCAGCTTCTGAACACAGATGTGCTTCGGGCTCATTTCACTGCGCAGGACAGACAAAACACAACTAATCAATCGGCAGTTTCAGCAGTTAATTATGGATTCTCTGTCAAATCTGCTGTGGAGCCGCCTGACGATAGTCGCGGCTCACATCGTTATCAGCGGCAGGACTCTCTTAGCTCCACACAGCCAATATTACGTTTCTGATGAGTTCAATATCGCTTTATTCTCTCATTACGGTTAAAGATCTTCCAGTCGCGCCGCCTCTCTGTAAGCGAGCGAACATCGCCGCGTATTAGCCGGTAATTGGAGCTGAGATTGTCTTTGCGTCGACTGTTTATCGGTGTGTTTTTTCTCCTCTCGTTTTGATGACTATTGACGCTCAGGTCTCCCAGCACGGCGCTGCTGATCAAAGACGAGACCCGGAACGTCTTCTACGAGCTGGAGGACCCGCGGGACGTTCAGGACCGCTGCGTGATCAAGATTTACTGCAAGGAGCCCATCTACGGCACCTACCCCGGACACCACAACCCCCACCTGGCCAACGGGGACCTCAGAGTAAGTGTCCCGGCGCTCCTCCTCAGACGTTTCACAGCGTTTGGAGCTTTTCTTCTTGGGTTTGTTTTTTGCTCTTTCGCTGCCAAAAAGATCTCGCTTCCTTTTCCTCGGTTACAGATTCCCTCTCTGGCTCGTGACTCATAGATTAAGAAGCGACACAAACACGGTGGCAGATAGCAGCGACCGAACCGTCCAACAAATCGTGCCTCCTGTAATTCCCTTTAAAGCAGTTCGTTATTCCCCCGCTGCGCCGCCACCGTGATATTATTTCCCTGTGTTGACTAAACACTAGCTGGCATTACGTAACGCGTCCAAGTTCGTCTGAGTCACGTGACTTCCCTCCGACCGTTCCTGGATCGGCGCCAGCGTTTCACATCACCGCCGTGGACTCGGCTGGAGGCCAGCAGACTGTAAAACGACATGGATGCTGCTGTGAGGCGACAGAGTGAAGTCCAGGTCATGTGAGGAGGCAGACTAGACACTGATTCACATCCTGCAGTACCGCACAGTACGCCACAGAAGTATTTACTACTGCATAAGGAGCATGTGCTAAACTTAGTAGGTCCCAATACACAGTACGTCAAAGGTAGATGGTTTTTTCTCCCTTTTTTTTATTGGATTTTCAGCATTACAGACAGTCTTAAGGTACATTAGAATTCAGTTTTCTTCTGGAGATGAAGAAAATGATGCATCGACAAACGATACGACAGACAAATAAGTGAACAGAAATGAAGTAAAGCCAGTGAAGATACGATGAATAAATCATGTTAATACAATGTAAACCAAGGGATCAGAGGGGATTACAGTTGGTCTCTATATCCTGCTACCATCCTGCTCTATGAAACCATCAAGTATATAATAGTAGTCTTCCAAAGATGACATGGTTTTGACTAAGGACAGAAAAGGACCCCAAGTCCTATTAAAATTGTCCGAGCAGCCTCTAACACTGAACCTAATTCTCTCTAAACGGATGATTAGATCTTCCAACCAGAAGTTAGAAGACGGAGGTTTCTGATCCTTCCAGTGAAGTACGATTCGTCTGCGGGCCACAAGAGAGGAAAAAGCAATAACATTTCTCTCCCTGGCAGAAAAACAAGCAGAGTCCTCAGGTACACCAAAGACAGAGATTAAAGGGCCGGGAACCACGGGTCTGTGGAGAGCTCTAGATAATGTGTCATAAAGAGAGGACCAGAATGGACCCAGTGTTACACATGAGAAGAACATGTGCAGGTGATTGGCAGGTGAGAGGAAGTACATGCCACACCTGTCACCGCTGTTCAATAGTTTAAGTCTAACTTTGGAAACGTGTGTTAAACTGTATCGATGCCAAACTAGCACAAGGAGAGGGAGCGTTGACTTCTTCCAGGGCCCTGAGCTCTGATTCCCAAGTGCTTCTAACTGCCAGAGGAGATGGAGATGCAGTCATCTTGACCACAGCTGAGATGATGCTGCGGGCTGCAGGGTGAGACAGGATCCTATCTGTTCATGGGGAAACTACGGTGAGCAAAGCCTGAAGATATCCAAACAAATGAGCTGGTGGAAGATCAAATATAGCTTGAAGAGTATCAAAAGAAATAAAAACTTCATCAACACAGAGTTGTTTAAAGGAAACCAAGGCCTGACCCTTCCACAAAGAACAAACTGGGTCAACAGCTGAGGGTGGACAGAAATGGTTGTCACAGATTGGCATGAGTGGGGAAGCAGTAGTCATTTTAAACTGCCTCCATGTTTTTACTGCAGATGAAACGATTGGGTTAGAGGTGTAATTAATAGGATACGAGTTTAGAGGACCAAAGAGAGACAGAGCTGCATGAGCGAGCCTCCATCTGACTCCAGTCTGTTTCAGAGGAGTTGCACCACATGTGGATTTTTTGGATATTGGTCGCCCAATAATATGTCAAGACATGTGGTCGTGCGAGGCCTCCGTCTGCTTTGTTTGTTGTTTTTACTAGATTTGAATCAAAGAAAAAAGTATAAATATTTGGGATTGAAACATAATAAATACATGTAACTGTTAATTTATAGAATGTCTCTATTGTGGTAAATTACAGATAATATCAAGTAAAATCACAACAAAAAAAAATCTAAATTTCCATCTCGACAAAACAATAAACATCAGACCAGAACTAAATCATATCTGTCTCAGTTAGATTAAAAAAAAAAACAGTTTATTCATTCTTTTCCAACTGTTGTATTTCCATCGAGTAAAAAGAATAAAATCTTTATTATTTTAGTTATTTGCCGTTCAATCCTTCGTATTTTTTTTTTTTTTTCAAGTAGCAGCACATATTTGTGAAATTAGACATTTTGTCGATTTACACAAATAAAAGTGTAGTTTTACAATTTTTGTAAAAGAATGAATTCCCATTTCTAAAAATTATTTCACATATATTATGTAAAGGTTTTTTTTTTTACAGTTAACATGTAAATTAATGCTTTTTTGTTATTTTATTAGACTTTATCTGTAATTTCTCAAAAAACGAATAGGCTTAAATCATTTACACGCATATATATATATTAAATGATGGTATGTATTTGTAAAATAACATATTTTGATTGTTTACATATGGTAAAAAGTCGTAGTAGTGATTTTGCAATCAAATGCAATAGAAGAGCAAATTAGTGTTTATAAAAATGCAGATTTTTGACGTGGTCATTATTCACAGTTTTGGCCTGTTTTGGTTTTTTTTTGTTTGTTTTTACGGTTCACTTGCAAATTCATATTTTTTTCTGTGATTTTACTTTTTATTGTCTGTAATTTAACAAAACAACAAAATGCGTCAAATAATGTTACCGTGTTCCAAACACTTCAGTTCAAAACGTTTTATTTCTGACAGCTGTGGGTGGATTCACTGAAACATGTTTATCGCTCCACGGTGTCACGAATGAGTGCAGCAGGTTCAGTTTGCAGAGATGAATGTTTGAGTTTGTCGGGATGTTACTGATGGGATCAAAGTTAATTAGCAGTTTGTCATCTGTGACGGGTTTTTAAAAAAATTTTGAACGTCCAAAGCGACGGTCAGCTTCCTGTGGAATCCGTTCAGTGTGTCAGAGTTTCATGGCTGCTGTTCAGGAGCCGCCGCCGCCGCCGTGGGATTTATCTTAATCCATCAGTCAGCCGCTGACAAAATAAATGTGGCATTAGCCTGATTAGCATGATTACTGACGCTTTATGCGTTTGGTTACAGCTGGAGCAGAATAAAACCTTTTGCGTGTCATTCGCTTTTCGTTGTGTTTTCCGCACACAGAACGCTGCATTCTGTCTCCCTCTAATTACACTGTGATTATGGAAATGAGTCGGCGGTAATTTAAAGTGCTGGAGAATGCTGCTTTTATGGCATAAAATAAATTATAAACTAGATAAATTACATTAGAGGGAAGCAGACGTGCACGCTGTGGAAACCCAATCTGCATGTGGAGCAGCCGAACCGGAGTGGAGGCCGATCCGACACGTCTCCGTCGCCGTCGCTCAAACGGCCTGCTGTCGGCTGCCTGAGCGGTTTTCAGCCGCCCGGTAACGTCCTGGAGGTCAGACGTTCTCGTGGGATCCGTCCTCAGCTCTGAAATCTTCCTGCTGCCGTTTTACGGCCTCATCGCAGCGGCAGGTGAAGTTTTATGGTCGCCAGGTAAACCTCCCGCCAAGGTGACGCCGAGGACGCCAGTGCTGGAGCTCATTGAACTCCTGCCAAGATTATTCCCTGATTGCAGCCACAAAGCGTGACGAGGAGCCGATCGCAGCCCGACGCTGGAGGACAGGAGATGTTTGGGAGGAGACCGATGGACAGATTTTACTGAGCTGCAGGGAGGCTGGTTCTGAAGTCCAAATAGTATGAATATGATGTAAAAAAAAAAACTGCAGAAATCTGACAGAAGACATGTTTAAAATGCTGAAAACTGTCATAAAAAACAATATATAAATATCTGTAGACAGTTTAATTTTACAGTCAAATGTTGTTAAAAAATGACATGACATTATTTGAACTGTTTTTATCGGTCGACACGTAAAGAAGATTTTAAAAGCTATTAACTGTAATTTAACAAAACAGGGAAAATCTGTAAAATAACAGTAAATTTTAAAAAAATAAAAAAAATCAATGTACCTGTGATTTATGGAGGTCACGAAAAAAACAATCCTGCAATAAATCTGGCACAAGGGTTGAAAACAGTAAAATACTGTCGTGTACAAAAATGGAGAAACCTGAAAACAAAAGCACGTTTCTGTAAAATATTTTTTATCAGATTGTAAACCAGTACGACCGTGGTGTTTGATGGACACACGTTAACAAGCCACCAGGTTCTCGATGTAAACATGTTTGTTGATACATTCAACATGTAAAATAATCTTTATTTGCGATTTTACTGGATATTATTTGTAATTTAACAAAAATCATTTGCAAAATTTTTTACCTTTTTTTTCTCCAATCTGTAATATACATCATTTTTATGTTTTTAAAGCAAACTAAATATATGCAAAATAATGCTATTTTTTGATATTTTAAATACAGTTAAAACTGTAATTTTACCAGTACGTTTATACTTTTTCTCTCTGATTTTATGACAAATTATCTGAATGTAAAATAACAGCAAAGAATGATTTTTCAGTCCTTCATATAAATAGTTTTTCTTTCAAATTACTCGCAATATTAAATGAAAATAATAATTTTTTTGCATTATTTAAATACAGTAAAAAAGTCATTTTATGCTTCAAAGTTTTGAAGAAAGAAAAATAATAAAATAAATATATAAATAAACAGAATTACCAAATCCTGTTTTTTAACGGTTAACGTGTGCGTTTATCCTTTTTCTCTGTAGCTTTACTAGATATTATCTGTCATGTAAAGAAACAGGGAAGATTCCAGTAAATTACTGATAAAAACTGTTTAAAGTTGATTTCTCGCGATGAGACGTCGTCGATCCTGTCGGTGGATTCAAACGCCTGTAAGTTAACGGCTGGCGTTGGATGGGAGGCTGTTGCTATGATACGAGGTGGAGGATGATGGGCTGGGGTCTGCTGCGAGCCTGTCCACAGGGTGTTGTTATAAGCGGCCTGAGGGTTATTATGTGGAAATATTGGCTTTTCAATTTGCATCGTCTCCAGGAGATAGCTTTGTGCGTCACAAGCAATTACAGTGTTGTCTCCTTTTGTGCTTCCTCGCTGTATCTATTATTCCGGCTCCCTCCGACGCAGCCCTTCACTTCGCCGCCGCCGCCGCCTCCGTTCTGCTCCGCTTTGTTTCGTCTTTCTCCCTGACATTTGGGATTGATGCCAAAAGATAATCCCTTCATGCTCTGCCCGTCAATACGCTATCAAGTGCAACTTAAACTGCACTTAGGGGGGCAATTTGGAGTCTTTCCTGTCAATCATGAAGCTGCATCTATGAAGCGCCGGATGTTCCTGGAAACTACACCCCGACACCGCGACACGGCGGCTTCGCTCGGGCGGATTTGGGGATGTTTCGCCCTCATAATGTCTCCAAAATGCACATTTACTTGTTTATTCTTCTGCACGTGGTGTATTTAAACCTGTAGAGCTCAATTATGATACTTATTTTTAAGACAAATTTGAGTTTTTCTCTTGATATGAGCCAAAAATCTGCACTTATTTTTCCCAAAACCTTCCAGTTTAATCCTTGCGTGTTTGGATATTAAGAAAAAAGTTACATACTTTTAATTATTTGGTGTTATTTTTTCTTCTGGGGGTCTCTTCCTGTTACAAAAAGCTTTTTTATGAGGCACCTCATCGTACGTAGAAGTTATTCAACGTGATCTAAAGGAAGACTCTAAAAAGTAAATTAAATGTGTCAGCAAAATTTAATGAATATTAACTGGATATAAGCCGAACAGACAAGTTGGATTAAGTGACTGAAACAGCTAAAAAGAAATATTAAAGGCCAGCAGATGAGAAAAATAAAAAGTATGTAAAAGACAAACTTTACAGCAAAACATAAAAGACATTAATTAAAATAAACAGTGCATGAATCGTTCTTCTACTGCTGCAAATGATTCATCATGAAACAAGAATGAAACTGATCAGAATCATTCCACATATAACAAACAAGAAACACATAAAATAAGAATTAAAAAAGAACGTTTCCTGATGGAGGATCCTTACCTTTATTCTCTATTAATTGTTAATTAATTCCAACCTTAATGTGGATCACACTCAGGTAAAGTTGTATTTACAGGATTCTTGTTGGGTTTTACTCCTTAAACGTGACGGTGTTTTAACTCCAGTATTTAAACCTGTCAGCTCAGGTCGTTCGAGGTTTTTTCGCTCTTTTCCTGCAACTTGTACGTCATGTGATGTGTAGAAGAAGAGCCGCGGTTTCACTTAACAAGATGCACTCGTTTGTTCACCACATTGTTTGCTGTTGTTCAGACTTGACGTCTCTTCGTTAAGCGTCTGTGATGTGCTGATGTTTTACTGTAGCGGCTCCGTTTCAGCTTCACACAGCTCTGGGATGAACCCCGGAGGAGCACAAGTGTGCGATAGTGTTGCGCTCCACTTGTGGAGCGACCCCATCGTGGTTTTAAAAGCCTCTTTAACTGGTACCGTGAAGTGAGAAGTTATCGGTGAAGTGATTTCTGCTCTGGAGAACTTTCAGATGGTCGTTTGGAGCTTCGTGCTGCTGATGGAGGCAACCATCAGCCTGCTCCTGGTCAGCATCAGCTGAAATGTTTCCATTTAATCTGATTTCTTTTCAGTGTTTGTCTCTCGTTTTACTGTTGACGTGTTTTAAAGTTAAACACTTCAGACGTTTCTTGTAGATTAATCACAGAAAAGGAGAATTGTGCAGCAGAAAACCAACATTTGGTTGAATATCATCTCTACCAGAGGCTCGTCTTGTTCCTGTGCTGCAGTCACATTTCAGACCCTCCACAGTAGCAGCTGCAGACGAGCTGGCTGAAGGTTCAGACTGAAGAATGTCAGGATTTGTGCAGATCCACAGAGTTTCCTGTTGCTCTTCTTTAACGTCGTGTTTGTCCTGAAGCACGTATCGCCGACGTGATGGAAGTGCAGCCCTGCTGTCTGTATTCTGAGGATTTTCAGTCATTCACAGCCTGATTTATTGAACATTTTATTCCTAATAATGGGCCGAAAATGGATTAAAAAAAAAAAATTTTTTTATGGCTGTGGAGTATTTTCTGATTTATGAGAAATCCCCTCGATAAAACCCTCCAAATGTCTGCAAAGAATTCTGAAGATGCCTTTATTCCATTTCCTGATTTCTGCTCTGGTAATAATATATATATATGATGCCTTATTTGCATGTTAAGACATAAAACGTCAGAAAACCTGTAGTTTGGTGTTGATATCAGCTGCAGCATTAAAATAAACAAATTTCCAGCATTGCATAACTACAAACCAACGCACTACAAAGCTGTGACGCTCTGTGTTCATGCAGGGCTGAACGCTGCTCCTCAGTCGTAGTAAACCAACCTTCCTGCGCTGACTTTCAGCAGAGAGAAGGACAGCTGCTGGATGGAGCATGACGTCAGCGTTTCACAGCTGCAGAGCAAAAAAAAAAAAAACACAATCACCATCACGGTTTTGCCGTTTCTCCCACAGACGCTGCTGAAGCCGCATCACTTTGTGCACGTAGAGGCAGATAATGAAGCAGATTACAGACAAATAGCTCAAATCTCATCATGTCCTTTACCAGAAATCCAATACTGGCTTTACGTAGATTGTAGATTGAGCTGCGTGACTAATCTTAGTCCACCCTGTCCAATCACATTGTTAAATACTGTTTATGTTGAGGCCACGTCCTGTTTCTTATCCAGTAATTCACACACAGCAACGATGCTACAAACCTGCTACAGGAGCAGCTGCAGACTAACCGACTGAATGTGCAGATCCGGAGAGCTTTCTGTTGCTTTGTCTCACCTTCACGTTTGTAATGAATCTGTTTTTTTCTTTTCTTTCGGTTGCTGTAACTTTAAATGTTCCTGTCAGTGATGTAACCTTGTCCACAGAAGGCTTCCTTTAGCTTTGCAGCAGTGACACTCTGTAAGTGCTGCTCTCTGCTCCGTGTGCCCTCAGAGGTTTTATTTGTCTGTCAGGAAACCCATCATCATCCATCAGTTTCACATTTTCAGTATGTAGGATACACATAAAGACGCCTGGACGCCTGTTTTGGCAGCAGGTGATTTAACTGTTGTGGCTGATTGGTGTATATATTATATCAAGTAGTTCCATGTATTGCTTAGATTTTATAAACACTGCATTTGGTTTGTCTGTAACAACTAAAAGATCAATGTAGTGGTGTCAAAGCTGCAATATCTCTCTTTGAGAAACGGTTATATCGACGTGGAAATTAAATCCTGCTGTATGTGGGTACAGCACAAGTCCTCGGTTCCACTGCTGTTGCACATCTGTCTAAACACCGTCTCCCAACCCAGTCCCAGCATTCTTCAACTGATCGATATCAGCTTAAACCTCAGTCCGATCCGAAACGTGTGGTAAACTGATGACAGAAACTGAACATTTGCTCCGTCGTGTTAACTATCAGGATTTAGTCCAAGTCAGTCCCGACTGTTTTTAGACATACGAGGTCCAGCTGGAGGGGATGAGGTGTCTCAGAAGACTTTGTCATGGTTCCTGCTGCTGGTTAAAATATCCGCTGTAAAAAAAAAACCTCTGGCCTGTTTGTCTTTCTTTAAACCAAGCGAAGGATGTGGCTTCAGTGTTTCACTTTTAGCTGTGACGGGTGGAACATTACAAAGAGCGAGCGGGACTGAGTCACTGTGCAATCCTTGAAACTATCAGTGTGGTGGGATGCGAGCCCAGAGGTTGCTGTTGCATCCCATAGCAACGTGGATTTGTAGGCTTTTATCCGCTTCCTACGTCAGACTACTGACATGAGATCTCCGGCCTGAAATGATCAAGCATCACACAAATCTTGGTGCCCCTTGCTGGCTAAACCTTCCCTTGTTCCAACACAGAACTACGTGTAATCCACCTTCTCTACCTGCTAATGTTGTACTTGAAATGTGTGCCATCTAGAAACACGGTGTTAGATCAGTATTTATGGATGCTAAATACCAAGTGAGTCAGATCAAACACTCGACTGGGACGTCCCTCACCAACAACACATTTGGAAGTGAAGAAAGTTGATAGAAACCTTTAAACATCCTGAGTTACTGTTTTAAACACCTTAGATCTGATTTTGTGTCCTCAGACACTTGTTAACTTCATGTCCTGCTCTGTGGTTGTTCTTTATTGGTAGAGGGAGATGGTGTACGCGCCCCAGGACTCTCCACCCAACCGCCGCCTGAGCAACCCGCCCATGTCTTCCCAGCATTCGTCCGCCTCCGCCTCGCCTCCTCAGGGCTCGCCGTCTCGAGCCCGCCTGCTGTACAGCGGCGGCCGGCCTTCTTCCTACGCCGGGCCTCCCCACCACACCCACTCCCTGCCCCACCCGCACTCCCAGTCCCACCACTCCTCTCCCCACCAGCAGCCTCAGCTCCACCAGCCCCACCACACCCAGCCGGCCTTCTGCGCCTCCTCCAGCGCCATACTGGAGCGCAGGGATGTGAAGCCCGACGATGAAGTGGGGGGATCCAGGAGCATGGTGCTGCTGCGGGGAGATGAGCGCGGGGGAGGTGGGATCTACGCGGACCCCTACTCCCTGGGCCCGGACACGAGTCGGCTGAGTCTGGCCGGAGGTCCTCACTCTCCTCTGCCGGCCCGAGCCGACCCCTACGGCTCCTTGTACCGCCGGGGAGGAGGTGGAGGAGGAGGCGGCGCCGGATCGGTCCGTTCGCTCACTTCCTATTCTGCAGCTGCTTTACAAGGAGAGCTGATGGAAAGCGGCGCCCTCTACAGGCCGGGGGGTCCGCTTTATAACGACGCCTACGCTGCGTCGGTGCTGGCCATGGGGCTGCGAGTGCCGCCGCCGTCCTCCCCGCAGAAGATACCCGACGTGAGGGATCCCTACGGAGGCACCATGCCCGCTCGGGGCTCCCCTGGCAGGCAGAGTTTACGAAGAGACTCTGTGAGCTCCTCTGTGTTTGGAGACAGTCCCAAAGCCCGGGGCCAGGGTCCGGGGTTAGGTCTCACCTCGGAGCAGCTCTGCCTGATGGCTGGAGGCGAGGGAGGTGGCCCTGGAGGCTTCGGTTCACCTCTGCTGGGGAACGAGACCGAGACCAGGTAGGACGACCTCAACGTGTACTTCTGCTGCAGCCTGGTTTTAGTTTTAAACAGTTAAGTCTTAAATTATTCATGCTCATGCCAACATTTGATTTGTAATGAACGTTTATCTGATCAATACATCTGGAAATGACATAAACAAGTGGAATTTTTACCAAAAAATCCAATGTTGAAAGTTGTTCACACCCCTTGAAACTGTCCGACGTTTTTAGAAGAATGCACTTTCTGCACCAGTCACAATGGTCCTTGAAATGTCGACCAAGTTCTGGAGCAGATAAATTGAGCAATTCTGGTAACAGCATCTCAAGGCAGACAGTAAACAATGCTGGTCTCCATGGACACCGACCAAGGACACAGCTGGACAAATAAGGAATTGTTTGGTCATCAGTTCTGTGGTCAGACGAGATGAAAGGGAAGTTGTTTGGACACAAGGATGTGGCTTTGGTTTGGTGAAAAGAAAGCGTTCGACCCATAGAAACGGTCAAACGTGGTGGAAACGTGATGCTCCGGGGCTGTTTTCCAGCCTCGTCAAAGTAAAGGGCATCATGAGAAAAGAGGACGACATTAATATTCTGGAGGAAAGCATCATGTATAAATCAAAATGTGGCATGGCTATGAATAATTTTGTGCTTAACTGTATGCAAAGTATATATTTATTCATCGCTGGCCGTGGAGCTCTGCAGCTACATACTTAACACTGTGCAGTATTTATGTGACACTACAGAGTATTTATCTTATTTCTGTGGCCTGTTAAACGTGTGGCATCCAGGGGGGAGGAGGAGAGGTGGGGAACTGTAAAGAGAGTGAAGAAGAACCCTACTCAGGCAAATTTCTAATGATTAGTATTATAATGAATCTGGATAGACGAGGATTAGAATAATCTGTTCGTTATTGCAGATGTGTGGAAGGGCTCATGATCTGCTGCTATACTCGACCTACATTTCAGCGCTAAAGACAAAATGTGATCTCATAAACTGGATTTATTAAAGTAAAACTACAGTGTGCTGAAAGAAATAGATTTGTTCTCTTAATGATTCAAACTTGCTCTCTGGCTTTTTTACTGAAATCCTATTTGATATAACGTCGACTTTGCTGTCGCTAATGTCACCTACAATCGTTCGTAATGTAACCCAATGGCTTGTTTTGGCTAATGTTAGCTACACGCAGTTGTGGTCAATGTAACTCTTAGCTTGTGGTGGCTAATGTTAGCTGCTAAAATTGTATTTAATATAGCCCTTAGTTTGTGCTGGCATATGTTAGCTACCGCTGTCGTTCTTGATGTTATCATTAGCTTGTGGTCGCTGATGTTTGCTACTACAATGGTACTGGATTTCTCTCTTAGCTTGTAGTGCTTATTGTTAGCTACTGCACTTGTATTGGCTAAAACCCTCAGCCTGTGGTGGGTAATGTTTGCTACTACAATCGCACTGGATTTAGCCTTTAGCTTGTGGTGGCTAATGTTAGCTACTGCTATTGTACTTGATATAACGATTAGCTTGTGGTGGCTGATGTTAGCTACTACAATCATACAGGATTTCGCCCTTAGCTTGTGGTGGTTATTGTTAACTTCTGCAATTGTGTTGGATTTAACCCTCAGCTTGTGGTGGCTAATGTTGCTATCCACAATCATACTTAATGAAACTTTTAGCTGGTGTTAGCTAATGTTAGCTATTGCGATCACATTCCATGCAATCCATGGCTTTAGTGACTATTTTTAGCTATTGCAGGTGTTCTTAAAAACAATCCCCCAAAAAACAGAGTTTGTGGTGGCTAATGTTAGCTGCTACAATCGTACAGGATTTCGCCCATAGCTTGTGGTGGTTATTGTTTGCTACTGCAATTGTATTTGTTATAATGAAGTGAATAATGAAAGTGTCTTTATCAACATACAGCCTCAATCTGTTTTTCAGTGTCAGCAAACTTTATTGCTGGGACAATTTCCCTCTTCAAACCAGAACTGATGTGCACTTTTGCAAAATAGGTCGTGTCGTATCGTCATCCTCTTTTTTTGTTTTTTTTTTGTAGTGCATTTTATTCTTGAGCGGATCAGGGATCAAGGCTGCGCCACAATCATTAATCTGTCAAGAAGGTTTATCTTTGATTTTATTTTTATGTTCAGATCCTTTAATACTCACAACTCTGGCCTTGCACTTGAACACGACTTCAGCAGAGAAACAAGAGTGAGAACTAGTAAAATATAAAGTCCCTGCTTCAAGGTTGATGGTTGTCTTGATGAATTAGTTCATGAACAGTCACTTACCATAATTATAGCCGTTAACATTGATCAGTGCTGCAGAAATGTCCAAAAGTAGATTTATCCTCGTGAGTTTTGTAGCAGAAAGCCTGCAGAGGAGAACTCGTTCATATCGCTGGGAAACCTTGACGGCGTCGGTTAGGCTTCATGTCAGATGAAACATCTGTTGGCGATGTGTGTTGGTGTGAATCCAGGGAGCGGATGGAGGCCATGGAGAAGCAGATCGCCAGTCTGACCGGGCTGCTGCAGAGAGTCCTGAGCAGAGCGCCGGAGGCAGAAAGCCCGTAAGAACCACTCTGACACCCAGCAGCACACATTCAGACACAGTTACAGTGCATGAGAACGCTCCTCTGACAGGCATGTTTGCACCAACACAGCTGAATGCATTAAAGTCCAGCTTGTATTTGATGTATCATGTGCTACATACATTTTAATGCAATTATCCAAAACCCCATTTACAGCGTTTGTGCCGCATGTGCTGCCCTCAAAGTTGGAAAATACAGAAAAGTACATGAACAACAGGGAATCTGCAGCGTTCAGTTGATCTTCAAACAAAAAGGGCCACATAATGGCTTTTAAAGTCTAAAATATTTGTTTATTTCTTGCTAAAGTCATTTTTTGAATGTACTTCTTGGCTGTCGGGTAGCTTCCATCTGAAATCATCAGATTTTTACAACAACTTCTGCTCAACCAGGTTTACTTGAAAATATTCAAGCATAAAATCTAGATCATTATAAAGATATTTTAGCTAAATTATAGCCTGACATGTGATAATACTTTTGTTTTTTTCCCTCTTTTTTTTTAATGAACTTGAGCACACCCTCTGCTCAACGATTTCAAGGCCTTGATTTGTCACAAACACAATTATACACAGTATAACGAACAGAGAAATGTATTGTGCATCTGCTCCAGACCAAAGCAATAATAAAACAAGAAATAAATATATAAATATACTGTAGATGGATGGATGGATGGATGGATGGATGGATGGATGGATGATAGATAGATAGATAGATAGATAGATAGATAGATAGATAGATAGATAGATAGATAGATAGAAATAAGCAAAATAAATAAATCAAAGTGGTAAATAGTGCAAAAAGAAAAGAAAATAACATAAAAAAAAGAATATATGCACACACACATATATATATATATACAAGGTGAAAAGTAACGAGTCGGATCGATGAATCAATGAATTATGCATCAACATAAGAAGCTAGTGTTTATAAATCATCTGGTCGTTTTAAGCTAAAGTGATAATAAAGGATAAATCAAAACCAGACAGGTTAGCTGCTGTTTGCAGAGTTTACCTTCGACTCTTTGTCCGTCTGTCTGAACAGAATGCAGCCACACTGACGTGTTTTTACCAAACGTTCAGTAAATGTTAAATACAGCTAACAGATGAATCCTGGAGCGCTGGTGATGCAGAGCTTCTGTTATGAAGGTAACACCGGTCAGACCGTGTTGACCGACCAGTCGATCAGGACAGCAGGAGCACCGTGAGTCACTGTTGAGGGTGTTTTGAACAATAGTAAAAATAATAATCCAACGTGTGATTTGCATTTTTAAAATGAAGTTTAATAAATGTCATTATAAAGCGTCGACCTCTGAACCTGCAGACACCTTTTGAATAATTCATTATATTTAATAACGGAGCGGATTCCTCGTCGTCCCTGCTGGTTTTCTGTCACTCTTTGATTGGCTCGAACTTGGAAGAACTAAAAAAGCATTAAATCGTCTCCCATAAAACCCTGAAGTGAAATTGTTCATACATGTAAATTTATGTAAAACAGCGTCTGTCTGCGACGCTGCCGTGACTCACGTCCGGAAAACCTCAACTTGCTTCTCGCTCCTGCTGGTTGTCGGGGGAACAGATTTTTTTAAAAATTGCGTCTGCACACTGCACCACATTTCCACATCCTCCACCATATATCAGTGGCTTCTCAGTGGCTAAGTCGATAGTGTGTTCTGGCTGTAAGTACTTTAACACTTGCCTCTTCCAGGGAGAAGATTGAGTCAGCCAGTGACTGCTCGGGAACTGACAGTAAGTGCTCACTACCCCCAAAAAAATAAAAACCTAACTATTTCCTATCACTGCCTGTCACTGCTCCCCACTGCTGCCTGTTTGATAGCCACATAAATTGGCTCTTCTTCCTCTCACGGAGCGGCTGCTATTTCATTTTCTCTGCATAATTCTTAAAGTGCCTCATATGTGATCGTAATGGCTGACTTTGCGAGCTTCTTCACACTGTATGTGCCGGCTTTTTCTTTGCTGCTCTGTAACCGGTGCCCATGCTTCTTGTTTTAGCTGGACGCGCTAAAAAAAAGAAAGGTAGCTACTGTGTGTGTTATGTTCTGGTACCTGTTCCCCTGTCTGCCCCCTCCTCAACCCCCAAACACCCCACCAGTGTTCCCAGTGAGCCCCATTAGCCTCCAAACGTGTACAGTTAAGCCCAAAACTATTTATACGCATGCAAAGTTTTGATTTATAGGCCTTTTTTTTTATTGGATCAGTTGGTTTGTTGTGGCTGGAAGTGACAAAAACAAGCAAGTAGAGATGGTCAGACTCCGTGTTGGAGACGCTAATTGAGATGTTTACTAAAAAATGCTCTCTTCAAAATGAATAATACACCCTGAAAGTGTTGCGCATCGTTGAGAAGACGCAGCTTCTGTGCCATCCGAATGCTCCTGGCGCTTTCTTACATGTTCTAATGCGTTTTAAATCGAGAACAGCCGACGCAGTGCCTCTCCGGTCGATTGTAAGTCACTGCTGAAACCAAAAAGCGTACAGAGGGCATCTGGCTGCACAATGTGGCTGCTCGCAGGATGAAGCATCGCTGGGAAGTCTTATCCAAGTGTTCTCAAGCTTCGTCAAAAAGTACCTCACTGAGAAATCTCAGAGCAGGTCGATGAGTACGATGAACCTTTATTAGTCCCACAGCGAGGAAACGTGTTTTGTTACAGCAGCAATGAGTGCTAAAGAAATATGAGTAGAAAACTAACAAATAAATCCCAAAATATGCAGAAGTACTGGTTCAGAATTCCCATGAATGGAAATGAAAACAACAGAAAACCTCCACGAAAAGACTGGTGACAAAATTCACCTATTTTCCAACAACAGTCACAATCGATCTTCACATGGATGCAAAACTAAACTATACGAGGCACGTAACCATCATCAGCACGCCAGGTTGATTAATACCACGTTGGACCAAAAAGTGTTGGACGGTTTGATCAAATCGTTGCTTGCACCAGTGAACAAGTCAGTCTGGAGTCCTGCAAAGAGCCTTTTATGAAGCCAGAAGTGAATCCTGCGATGGTAAGAACGATGGAGACCAACAAGAACCCAAGACACCAAGAGCATGAATGTGAGCAGTTCTGGTAAAAACATCTCAGTAAGACTCTGAACAAGGCTGGACTCCATGAGGACCAAGGAGGACTGAACAAGACGGACTCACTAAAGATCAGATCTGTGGTTGGATCAGATGAAAATCAAAAAGTTTTCAACCCCGAGAGCTCCATTAAAACGGTCCAACATGGAGGGAATGTGATGCTTTGGGAGGTTTTCTGCCTTCTTAAAGTAAAACAGTATTAAAAAAAGAAGACAAGGTTCAAATTGTGAGGATTGTGATCTGAAAATTTAAGCCAAAGTGTTGAAGAACTGGTGAACAGGAAGATGTTGGAGTCCAGAATCTGTGGAGGAACCAGAGCGATGGAGAGGAAGAGCTGAAGATCATCACAAAGAGGAACTGAATAAGAAAGACTGATAACTGTCTGATTGATGCTGTGGCAAACATCCTGTAAAGCTGTTAAAACAATATCTCACCATCGCTGGTTCCTCGTTTATGTCATTTCCAGTCAAACTTATTCATCAAGTAAACTTTCCCTTTAAATCAGAATTCAGCATGAATATGAATCACTTGGTCTCACCTGTGTGTCGTTTTGAAGGAACTGTCTTCTTCTGAGAGCTTCCCTCCTTCACTTCTCCCTTGTTTTGTCTTTCTCAGTAAGAAATCACAGAGTTGCATTAAATCAGAAACAACAAAAAATGTAGTTTTGTTGAGATTTCATTTCTTCTTTGATGTCACACGGTTGATGAAAGTCGATGTTTTCACCACTGAATTAGGCACAAATTCATAGATTGTGTCGATGAAGCGTTCACTTCTTTCATGTGCAGCGTTCAAGAAGAAGAAGGTTTTGCAATTTTAATTAATTTCCTCTTAAATGTCTGATCTCCTGTCGCGTTACAGATAAGCCTGGGTGTTTCACTGGAATTTGCTTGAGAGTAGTTTATTATATTTCCACGTAGCTTCACAGACTTTAAAACCCTTGAGTTATTTCTCTTTATTTTTTTTACCTTTCCATCTTCTTCCCGTTAGGATCTGTCAGATATTTATCAGTCTGTCTGCCAGCGGTAATAGTTAGATTGGCTGTTATCTGCAGGACGTCTTTGTGCTGCTTCTTAACCAAAAGACGTTTGACGGCTGCAGAGTTTGTGTTCGTCCGACGCTCCTGAGCGGCTGACTTGTGGTTAAACTCTGGCTGGAAAGTGTCGACGCTGAGGCGCTTCAAGTGTTCCTCTGGTGTCGTGGCGACACAAGAGTCCACACTTAGCGAGTCAAAGTCAAAATGCAACTCTTGAAAACCCACTCTGTTATCGATTGGTTGTCTTTGAGTTTCCCCTTTTTGTCTCGTTCTGCATGATGCGTGTGCCTCAACACCCTAATTACTGTCAGAGCATCGCACTCATTGTCATTTCAAAGGATTATCTGATTTGGAGACGCTCATACATTCTGCCCGTCTGGGGACTCAGTTATAATGAGATGTTTGGATTCAGTGGAAACGCTGTTTTTTCGCTCCTGTGTGTCCCTGAAGCCTCCTCCATGCTGTTTATCATGACGTCCATGTACGGCTGTAATCTCCACCTCTGACCTGCGGCGCAGATAGAACTTGTCCTGGATTGCTGTTGCCAAATCCTGCAGCAAACCAATATTCTGTGTCCAGGCAGCCAAATTGTTTTCATAACCAGATGGACATTCGAGGTCACTGGAGTCAAACCGGCGGGGGTTGTTCTCCTGTTCTGCAACATGCACAGCTCTCTGACAATTTCTATCGGCTCTAGATGTTCTCCAGAGGAACCCTGAACAAAAATAAAGGTGGCTTTCCACTGCAGGAACTCGGGGCAGGCTCAAGGTGATTGTCTTTTTACATAACGCTGAAGAATCGGACATATACGACCTGAACGTTAGCTCAGAGTTAAGCCGGTTTGTGCTGTACGACACAGTTAAAATGCCAGAAATCATTAAAAAAAAAGTCCAAGTGCCTCCTGGTGTTACCAACTCTGGGCTCTAGATGCTATAGATCGTGTCGTCACAGCCTGCAGCTCATCCTGAAAGTCCATGAATGTTTTTTCAGGTGATTCACTCGTGGCTTTTATGCAGAGAGGTGCAGAGTTTAAGTTTGTTTTTACAGAATCTCGTTCGGGCAAATGCTGTTTTTTTTACAGTTTTTGAAATTAAATGTCGCAAATAAAGTACATTTGATGAAAAATGACAATTTCACGCTTAAATTTGGATATTTTTCAGATCGAATGATGCGTTACGGATGATTAGTTCACAAATGAAGATGCAAAATCCGACAATTCATTTTGCATTTACAGTTTCTTTTTGTATTTATTTGTGTAATTTTGGCTTTTTTGTTTGTTTGTTTGTTTTAAAGATAATGGGACTTTTTTGGGGGTTCAGATATTTAATTACGTAGCATTTGTCTTGTCTGAGTTTACTGCCCTGTGCACCGACCCTGGACTACGTACTTTTGGTTCTATCGATGGTTCTTGCGTTCAGAACGGGTACAGACTTTCAGGCCGCCCTAAAACAGCACCTAAAGCTCCTGCAGTGGAAAACAGCCTGATGCTGGGACAAAGTTCCCTTCATTAAATTGACATTTTCGCTGGGCAGCTTTGACACCGTCGGCCCCGCTGGCCCTGATGCCACCTCCACCCTCGGGGCCCAACCAGCCGGTACCGGTGTCACGTCTGCAGATGCAGCTCCACCTACAGGGCCTGCAGCAGAACACCAACGCTCTGCGCAAACAACTCTCGCAGCTGCGCAACATGCAGGTGTGTATAGATGCTGCTGTGACTGAAGGTTTCTGAAACGTCAGGTCAAGTTCGTACTGAGCACGCTCAGAAAGTACCGTAAATTAACCTGTAACTTGGTTTCCAGCTGGAGAACCAGGACTCGGTTCTGTCCCTGCTGAGGCAGACGGAGTCAGAGCTGAGCCTCATGATGCTGGACGCCATGCGGACCCAGGAGGACCCGCTCCAGAGACAGCGCCTCCTGGTGGAGGAGGAGAGACTCAAGTACCTCAACCAGGAGGAGCTGCTCATCCAGCAGCTGCAGTGAGTTCAGAGTAAACAGTAGTTTGTCTCAGTGGGTCTGGTGAGGAGGAGACACGAAGACAAGACGTCCTCCACCTGTCGGCATCAACGTCTGAGTAGCTGTTATGTTTCAGTCATATTCTGTCAGTTTATTGTATTTTATTGAGGCAGAGTTTTGCACAGACACTTCAAGTATTTTCTACTCGTTCATTCTGACGTTTGCACAAACAAGCAGTTTATAACTATTTAGTAAAAGTCTGGGAAACCACTGACAGTCCAACATACCACTGAATGAAGTTTGATATGTACACCTTGATTTTATCAACCAGCAGTGTTTGTTATGAATACCTAGACTTTTATATTTACACACTTACAGACAGAAGTTTTTTGTGAGAGGAATTTTTATCAAGTTAAATTCACTTCTTTCTAGAAAAAAAACATGCTGGTCCCAGGGAACGGGCTTGTTCGTAGGTACTATAAGCTATTTTTGAGAGTTGTATTGGTGTCAATTCTAACATTCACGTATTGAAAATGTTAAAATAACACCCAGCCTCGCATATGATGAGTGGAAAGCAAGACATTTTTATCAGTTGCAGTTTTCAGATTTTGTCATGAGAGAGGCTGCAGTCAGCTTCCTAAACCTAATCATGATCTAAAGGCAAACAGGAACTATTCAAGGTGCGATCAGAAAACTACAAGACTGCATGTGTGGAAATCAAAACCTGTCAGAGTTGTGTGTTTGTGCAGCGATGCACGGCTCCCAGTGCTCCTGCAACACTCGTAACACATGCTGGAAGTCCTGTTGTGTAAACATGTCAACCACTATTCTCCTAAACCCTGTCAATACGTGAATCTTTAAACTTGAATTCTATTTTGGGGACGATTAAAAAGTCAAAGGGAGCCTAATCTGGTCAGTCAGATGGCTAAGGAGTAATAAAACTTGAGCTTTATCACTGCGCTGTGACGCCATGTTCTCCCTCAAACACATCAGCACATTGCATTAGAAGTCTACATTGACCGTCCGACTCTGGGGGATGAGTTCCTGGATCATAACCACGTGACAATTAAAAAACAAACAAGAAGAATGCTCCTGATCTGATGCGTCTTGTCTGGGTCTGGAAACTGCTGTTTCTTCTGTTGATGGTAGCCGCAGGCCCTCCTCTTATCACCTGCAATTCTACAATTTAATTTGAGAGCGGATACAACACAAGACCAGCAGTGATGATCTTTAGCTTGAGGTTGGATCATCCCAACAGAGCACGTGATGTTTTCTTCTCTGCTCCAGTTTGAGGTGAAACCATAAATGTGTTCCTACCAGTGGTTGTAAAAACATGTGTAACAGAGGCCCTAACAGTGTGACATCATGCTGTATCCTGACTCAGAGTAGTTATTGCACAAACATGACCATGATGTCCCCCATGCACTTGTAATAAAAACAGTCCCAGAACTTTTTGATCGCACCTTGTATGGAGAAATAGCCTCGTATGGGGGTACAGATCTGAAGCCTTTCACTGCATGTTACTGGAAAGACTTTTATTTATTTATATGTATCTCTTGTAGGTGATGTTTTCTTCCTACAGTTTGCATCAGTGTCTCCTCGGTTGATTATGCAGCCGCTGCCAGACCGCAGAGTGTCAACAGCGGCTGCACTTCCTAATTAGCAGCTCTTCTCCGTTAAAGCAGATGTTTACGGTTAACACTCAGTAACAACAGCATCCAGTGTGTTCAGTGTGGAGTGATGTGAATGTGTCGTCCCCAGCGACCTGGAGAAATCTGTGGAGGAGCTGCAGAGGAACTCGTCGGTCAACCACGGCCTGGTGACGGAGCAGGACGTGGAGCAGAAGAGCAAAGAGCTGAGGATGCTGGGAGAGACGCTCACCGAGCTCAAGAGTAAGTGCTCTAATCACTGACGCTTCCTCGTCGTCCATTTAGTTCCACCGAAGCACTCGTTTTCAGAGTTTGCTCGCCGGTCGATGTGCTTCACTCTTGGCGGCAGCTGCTCGGTAGTTTTCCTCCGTCCGCCTCGGTGCTTTTACCTTCAAACTGCCATCAATTTAAAGGAAAAACTGCCCGTTTTACCTTCGGTTCACCTCTGCTGCAGTCTAACAGCACATAATGTGTGCAGTGTGTGTCAGTCCACCTCTGAAAATAGTCCCCCGACAAACACACCGTACACTAGAGGTGAACAGAGACGCCATTACCGTCCTCTGCATCTGTATGCAGCTGAAAGACTGGAAATGTACCAGATATGTGATGAAACAGGGTGTCAGTGGACGTCCAACTTCCACCTTAAACTCACACATACCGACTGATAAAAAGGTCAAATGTCAGTTGTTGGGATATTTCCACTGTGGTGTGTTTGTTGAAAGAGGGAATTTATCAAGTACAGCTTGAGTTTGTGGCGGTTTAGGAGAGATCCAGCTGCCACTCCGGGTTGTAACGCCTCTCCTGGTCGGTCTGATTGGCCAGTTAGATTTAAACAAAACAAACACTGAAATCTAAGTCGTCTGTTGCAATCAGTGGAGCATTTTTTAAAAGAAGTATGTGTCCATTGCTTATTGTGCTTTTCTACACAACCTGTTGGGATTCATGTTTCTACACCTGTCTAAAAACGAGAGTCTCCGATTATTGTTTTCCAGAAATTCCCAGTGACTCAGAAACTCTTTGTGTCCTGTTTTTAACTCTCTGAGCTCCAGAAGCAGGTTTCAAAGGTATTTTTGTCTTTTTTACAAATGTGCTAATAAGTCGACATTCATCAGAGCCGGAAACCGTCAGAACAAAATGAATCTTTGGATTTTCAGCTTTCTGTGTGTGTGTTCTGCCAGAGAATATGAGCACATCTGAGCCTAAAATTATGATATTTCATCAAAATCTAGTTTTAAAATCTCTTTGAAAAACCAACTGTTTGCACGAGAATCTGTAAAAAACTAAACTAAAAATGATTGTGCAAAAAAAACACAGTAATTTTTCATGTGACCTGCAGACTGTTTACTTTGGAGACGATATTAAAGCAAAATTGAGCCTGAAAGGGAAAAACTGAATCCTTAAATTAAGTCGTCACGGCTCAAAAATTGTGCACTGAGTTGTTGGAAGATACGTCCAGCATGGTGAAACATTGCTCAACAGGAAGACACAAAATGCAGAGTTTGTAGAGGCTGTAAAAATGTTTTTCTGATTTATGGCATCACAACGTTACATCACAGAAGACGTTTCTGAGTTTTCTCTAATCGTAGCCGTGGCTGTTCTGTTTCCATAGAGGACTTTATATTGCATGTGACAGGAGTTTAAAAAAATAAAACAAACACCCACAAAGTGCTTAAAGTTTGGAGAGTTAAAGCTCTAAACTCCAAGCTGAAGGTCACAGAGGCGGCAGGGAAGTCGTATTTCTGGAGCATTAAGTAAAATCTTGAGCTCGTTGCTTAAGTTCAAATCAAAAATCCACATTATGGTTAATTTCTAGTTCATTTTCCTCAAATATAATGTAATATATATACCACACCGTAATAACTGCATGTCTTATGATGTGTCCACTAACAACAGCCACTGTAAGATGATGCACGTAATTATTATGTCGCTTAATTTGCTCCAAGAAAAGCGGCGCTCATCATTAAATGTCTAGAATAGCAGCGCTGCAGTTGTAGGTCGTAGTTCAAGCACTAAAATACAGCGTGTGTGTCCATATTTTATGTCATGCAACAGCCCAGATAAATATATGTAGAAGTCTTCTTAATTGATATTCATGAAGTTTCCGGTTTAACCTCTTGTCCCGCCGCTCTGACCTGTGTACCTTCCTGTCCGTCGTCAATGCTAATGAGTAGATCCGAAGCTCTGTGGGGCTCGTTATGATGTTGTGTTGACTGCTGCTCGTAGCCGGTGCGTTCACCTGCATCCTACTGGTTTGCTTAATGGGGAGTCGCACCGACTCCGAGAGAGCTGGGAGACACCAGCAAGCACAGCAGAGTCGTAATACACATCAAATAATTAAGCTTCAGAGCCAAAGAAGAAGATTATTTCTTTAAATGTATTTTTAGCGAACCAGGACTGACGATTATTTAATATATTATGATGTGGGCAAGTGCAACATCCGCATCACAGGAGCTGCAATGTTTGGATAAAGGTACAATGTGTCACAACGTGCTGTCATAAATGACGCATTGCAGCACTAGTCAGATAAATGATATTTTAAGGACATGAGACAACATGCTTGTTTGGTGCAGACGTTTTGCAGTTTGATTTGTCGAAGCAGATGATCATTTTTTGGGGGGGGAAGCGTTGAGACATACAACCGCCATCTTTGGCATTTCAGAATTTACAGACAGATTTCTATCCTGCATTCCTGAAGTGACAAGTCTCTGCTTTATAATGTCTCTCCAGAGAAGACCAGGTGCTTTTATCTGCATTTTAGACAAATCTATTAGTATTAATAAGTCATTAACTGATGGGGATGCCAACAAGCCTCAATGTGATCCTTTGTTATAAAGGGAGAACACAGCTTGTGGCGGGACAGTCGGGATGCAAATTATATTTATCGGTAATCAATATTCAGTTAATTGGTCGTACAAGTTAAGCAAAGTGGACAATTCTCCTGTGATGATTTTGCATTTTTAATCAAGGGACCCATGATTTTGTCCACATATCCTCCTGGGATACCAAAACTCTGCTGTGGTTGATTCAACACGAGTTCCAGCCAGAGGTCATCAGGCATCACCTTAGTCTGTGTCATGGTGCCCATTGCTAGCTAAACCCCCACAATGCTCTCTGCTCGCCAGCTTTAACCGCCTGTAGTCTGAGTGACGCCTCCTCTGGTAGCTACAGCATGAAACAGTGAGAGGCTCCACCTGGTGGAACAACCAGGTACTACAGCTGAGCTTCAATACATTTCCTGACATGCATGTAGAGAAAACAGGGTTTTTTTGGAGTGTGTGGTGCCTCAGTACATCCGACCCTCTAATGCTACATTTAGAAGAATAGAATTAGAACTGGAATTAGAATAAAACTTTATTAATCCCTTCGGTACAAGACCTCAGGGAAATTGCTACACCAAAAAACAACACAACACCAACATAAAATCATCAACAAAACAACAGCATTCAAAATTCAAATCAAGTCAAGTCAAATCCAAATCCAAATTCAAATTTTCAAAATTTTCAAATCAATGTCAAACGGTGTCCTACTGGAGCTTCACAACAAACTTCATGATCACATGCTTAACATTAAGGAACAGCGTGGAGGCAGAATTTTTTATTTCAATGCATTGCAGAGCTACTTTGTCAAGCATATACGTTGGATTAATGTCAGTAATTTTAATGTCGTTAAAGTGTGTGTAGTGTAAGAAAAAAAGTTGTTTCAGATTGGGACTCAGTGTTAGCAGATGCTAAATATTAAATGACTTCCTTTGCGGTCAAAGAAATTTGATCTTTTTGGTGGTCATCAAAGGCAGAGTGGAGGAAAGTCTAAGCCTGGGCTCGAGAGAAGCTTTGGGTGTAGAAAACTGGTGAAAACATTTACACTGAAATGCTGAGTAGAAAGAATGATTGAGCTGGGGAAAAAAAAACAAGGGTGGACCAAAGACGGACCCTTGTGGCGCTCCGTTTGTTTGAATGGCGGTTGGTTCAGGAAAATTGTGTCTCCAACATTTCAAACAATGTCTGTGAATCCTCCCCTCAGACGGACACAGACTGTTCACATTACTCAAACATCTGCCGTGTGCTTTGTTCTCATTCGGCCGACCTCCGCTGAATCCTCTCTCTGAAACCTCTCTGAAAATCCAGCGTGACAGAAACAGCATCTTTCCTCCTGTACGTCTTCCTTCTTTTCCACACATCCCCACGTTCGTTCCTTTGTTACTTCCCTCCCGTGCAGACCAGTTTCCCAGCCTGCAGAGTAAGATGCGGGTGGTGTTGAGGGTGGAGGTGGAAGCTGTGAAGTTCCTGAAAGAGGAGCCTCACCGCCTGGACGCCCTGCTGAAGCGCTGCAACACCATGACTGATGCTCTCAGCACGCTGCGCAGGTACTCGAATCAAACGCTCCTCGGGTTCTTTAGATAATGTCTTACTTTGTTATTAAACCAGGTCAGCTCACAGACCGCAGTCGGTTCCCTTTTGTAGACGTTCTTATTATTTTCTCTGAGCTTTCTGCAGGATTCACAGCAGCCGCTCGTTTTCACTGAAGGCTGAACGATAGGCTAGGAGTGTTTCAGATTTAACACCTTCTGCATCTTTATCATGAAACAGGTGCGTAGGAGAGCAACAAACACACCCTAAAGTTTCAAACCGAACCCTGCAAAGTGTCAAACTTACGACTTTGGGATGTTTCAGTGCGAGAACTTCATCAGGCAAATGATTTGCTATGAAAAGAAACCGCTGTAAACCCCCTTACTTGCTATATGAGCGCTTGATTCTACCAAATTACATCTATAAGTTTAAAAAAACACTCCCTGTTGCACCAAACATCAATGCATCCCAGAATAATCGGCATTAAATGGATAAAACACTTTGATGTAAGTGCTTTAAACCTCCGAGGACAGTTTAAAAATGCCCCTTTATGACACCGTAGTTTCAGTTTTGATGTTAAAATGATCATTTATTTGGAGAAATTTAAACTTTACATTATAAAACATGT